TAAACATCACATATGGATTTGATTTATAAATAAGATTTCCATTAAGAGAGTCTTTCCTCTATAATTTACTAATAAAAGAGAGCTAGAGGACAGATGTGCACAATACATATGCAATTGCTAAATGATAAATGATAAATAATTTGTAAATAACTGAATAGTGACAGTGGAATTACAGCTGATAACTGCAACCAGTAATTTGCTATGGTTTGCCTGCGCCAATGTTTTTAGTTTGTACTGTAAATGTAAGTCCTAGTGTCATATTTCAAGCAGCGTGTCATGACGGCTTTTAAAGAACATTTAGAGATTTACACACTGTAACATTTGGTTTGGGCTTGTACTTACATGTGCATATGAGGGGTTTTAGTGAATTAAACAAATACTCTCATTATATTCTACTTATCAAATCCTTTCACATGACCATCCAACTTGTATGATGTTTTTACAGTTTCTTGATATGATTATGATGATCATATTCGAATACTCATATTATAATCAAGTTGGCCAGATTGCCTATATATATATGTATTGTAAAGGCAAGTTTTTAAGATTGTAAATGACACACATTTAGGGTGAAGAGAGTGTTTTCTAATTGCTTAGTAATTAAAATATATAATTTGTGGTAAATTGTTCTCAATATTACTGTTTTTGCTCTATTTTAGATCAAATAAATGCATCCAAAAAACAGTAATATTGTGAAATACTGCTATAATATTGTGAAATTTCAGCTAAATGCTTCTTTTGAAAAAATTGTACACAACTGTTTAATATATATATATATATATATATATATATATATATATATGGCTCTACATGCAATAAAATATATTAATCTATGCAGTCACATAAATGATAATGCCATGAGCTTGTTTACATGGAATTATATGTTCAAACTTCTTTTCTGTCAAAAGATATCTGAATAAAGTGGATTAGTTTAGGGCTAGCACATTCAATGCCCTGAACTACAAACATATCTGCTCCTCAACAATCACATTCACCCACCACATCACTTTCTACGTGCCTCAGAGGCGGACCCAAAGTCAAGGCTGTTGGCTCAATCGCATGCTGTGCTATCGAGCTGACCGGAGCCTGTTTTGTTCCAGAGCTGTTGCGCAGGATCAACACCTCTTAAATGTCGTATTAAGCTGCAGACAGATCCGCAGGAAACAGCAGATCCCTGAAGGCCACACAGGCTAAGCCGGGCCTGGTGCGGTCCACATATCAGAACCGTGCATGTGTTTTCCATCATTAATTAGCTGGGATGTTTGCTGCATGCGTTCACCAAATAACCGCAAATGATTATGTAACATTTCTGCCAGTGCAGGCAATGCACATGGCAGCTAGCCAACATAAACTACGCGCAGGAATGCGAATGGCCTTTGATTTGGGCCGTGACCCTGAAAACATATTGTTAGCACATATGAACTTGATCCGATATTTGTTTGGAATGGCCAAGCTGTTGTTGTCATTGTTTGCATTCCGTCCTCTTGATTGCGACGTTATTACATGAACATGACTGTTTAAAGAGAAATTATACACTTGTATAATTGCGCAAGAACTATTTGATTGACATTTTGGCTTAGAAACAATTTCAGCATCAAATGACGCTCAGCAAAGTTCACCAGTATTTTGCTGTGACCTCTGTGAAAGAGTGCATCATTTGGAAAGCATTGAATTGTACCCTTAAGTGCTGTGGAAGTACCATGGTACAGTGATGTTTCAGATGGTAATACCATGGTACTGCAATTGCTTCTTGGTTTACCAGTTAATTCCAAGAATAAAGTTACTTTCAAAAAATCATAGTAGTGCCATGGTACATGTCAAAACAATGGTATGCAGGTCCAAAATACATGTAATATGGTATTTTTGGTACTTTGCACTTTATTATTTAAAAATTTGGTTGGTAAAACTTTTTAATATTTTTGAAAACATCTCTTATCCTCATCAAGGCTGCATTTATCCTAACTTTTGAATGGTAATGCAAGTAGTCAAAATCTATTAAAAAGAGCAAATTCACATAAGTCATAAACATCTTAAAAACCTCTGCTCGATGTTTTAACATTAAAGGGTTAGTTCACCCAAAAATTAAAATTCTGTCATTAATTACTCACCCTCGTGTTGTTCCAAACCCGTAAGACCTTCGTTCATCTTCAGAACACAATTTAAGATATTTTTGATGAAATCTGATGGCTCTCTGACCCTCCCATATACAGCAAGGTAACTACCACGTTCAAGGTCCAGAAAAGTACCAAGATGATCGACAAAGTAGTCCGTGTGACATCAGTGGTTCAACTGTAAAGTTACGAAGCTACGAGAATACTTTTTTTGCGGAAAGAAAACAAAATTAACGATTTTATTCCACATTTTCGTCTCTACTGCGTCACTTGTGGACGCGCGTTCACGACAGTATCATGACGCGAGCGCGTGGCGGCGCTGACCCAGATCCGGCGTAATGACGTCATAAAGTTGTTATTTTTGTTTTGATCGATCATCTTGGTACTTTTCTGGACCTTGAACGTGGTAGTTACCTTGCTGTATATGGGAGGGTCAGAGAGCCATCAGATTTCATCAAAAATATCTTAAATTTTGTTCTGAAGATGATCGAAGGTCTTATGGGTTTGGAACAACATGAGGGTGAGTAATTAATGACAGAATTTTCTTTTTTGGGTGAACTAACCCTTTAAACATTTTAGCTAAATGTTTCAGATGAGAAACCACTATAAACAAGACTTCTACATTTTCTCACAAACTGCTTTGTGTTTGCAGTGAGTGCATGCTGTTCTGGGTGGTTGCTTACTTTTCCAAGTCAAAAGAGTCAAATATTGTAAGTCTGAATGTTTAGAAAAACAATAGTGCACCTCTTCTCAAAAAGCCACATGATTTAATCATTCGATTTCCACATTCAGTTTCCTGTTGCAAAATAATTAATTTTTCTATAGCAGTAGTTCAGGTCGAGTTATGTGCCAAAGTTTAATAGGTACAGCGGTAAAAAGGAAGAACCGAAGTTTCTGAAGATTGCAAAACAAATGAAGCAGCCCAGTGCAAACCTCTCATGAATATCCACTGAAACACTGCAAATATGATGATATTCCAAACAAACATATTGTCAAAACAGGGCTGATAATCCAAAGCGCAAGTTGTCCTCTTCTTACGATAACTTAGACAAAAGACACCCATAATCAGGGTAGCCAATGCTGAGATACTACTAGAAGGATCCATCTGACCCTGAAGCCAAGATACTGTCAGTGATGACTATGTGAAGACATTGAAAATGTTGTTTTGCAAGCACACCATTTATGTAACACTTCGATAAGACAAATTCCAGTGAAACAAGAGCAAGAGTGTTGAATGCTAAACAGTACTGTAGGTACGTTTACATGCAATCAAATAATGCATTTATAATCAGATTGATTGATTCATGTAAACTGAATGAAATTTTGATCTATTTGAAAGGGGCGGTGTAAATCTTAAATAATCTGTTTAACATGAACATTTTCGCTACGTAAACCCTTGAATCTGACTACTTTCTTAATCAGATTCCAAAATAGCTTGCACACACATACAGTGACTTGATATGTATGTTTCTTAATGCACTGCATCTTACTGGTCAGTGGAGGAGCCATTTACACGACACCGTTTTCAACTAAAAATGGAAAATGTTTTATGCGTTTTGGTCATTCATTTACACGACAATGCGTTTTGGAAGCCTGAAAATGCTAACTTTTAAAAACAGGTTAAAAAGGGCAAGTTTTTGAAAACAATAATATTATCGTCTCTGTGTAAACTATGAAAAATGTGTAAAAACTGTGACATCATATGCATATGCATTACGTGCTCAGTCCATTGTTATGTGTGCTGGTGCGTAGTGTTTCTTTACAAAGCGACACCGCCAACTACAGGCCTGGCAATGCATAATACAGCATTTTTACAGATCCATGTGAACGGGGATCGTTTCGACAATGTTGTCGTCTGTGCACAAAACTTTAAAAAAAGGCAAAGGAAAAAAAAATTTTTAGTACAATCGCTGTTGTGTAAACGTACCCTGAATGTTTACTACATATTTGCTAAAAAGCTTTTCTGACGGGTATGTCAAATTTTTTTCAGGCACATCATCAAGGCAAAAATGGCAATTTTGCTTGCAGTAGATATGGTGACGTTTTCAGTGGCTTTTTCCAGTTCTGAAAGCAGCAACTGGGCATTGCACATGCACAGAAATCTTGCTCAGAATAGATGTAATCCACGTGTAAATGTTTACCTGTGGCTCAGTGGTAGAGCATTGCGTTAGCAGTGTAAAGGTCATGGGTTCAGTTCCCAGGAAACACACATACTGGTAAAAAATGTATAGCCTGAATACACTGTAAGTCGCTTTGGATAGAATTGACTGCTAAATGCATACATTTATTTATTAAACAAATATGTGAATTGGATTGCAAAGTTCAGGGTTCATATGTACAGAACTTTCAGAATCTCAAATCGAATTGATTTCATTCTGATTGACTGAAATTAGTGCACCACAGCTAAGAAACACACACACACACACACACACACACACACACACACACACACACACACACACACGCACATTGTATATAAATAAATATATATATATATACACACACACACACACACACACCTTCAGCACAGCAGACCATGTTTCAGATGTGGGACACCAGGTCTTACCTTTCTTTGACTTGGCACCGATCTCTGCTAAATGCATACATTTATTTATTAAACAAATATGTGAATTGGATTGCAAAGTTCAGGGTTCATATGTACAGAACTTTCAGAATCTCAAATCGAATTGATTTCATTCTGATTGACTGAAATTAGTGCACCACAGCTAAGAAACACACACACACACACACACACACACACACACACACACACACACACACACACACGCACATTGTATATAAATAAATATATATATATATACACACACACACACACACACACCTTCAGCACAGCAGACCATGTTTCAGATGTGGGACACCAGGTCTTACCTTTCTTTGACTTGGCACCGATCTTTAGCTTGGAAGGCCATGCAATCTGAGTATCTGTCTCCTCCATGACCTGTGGGGCAAAAAGGACACACATGTTAAAAGGTCAAGGTCAATTCCCACTAATACGTTTAGTGTAGGGTATTCAAAAATAGTCATAATTTGGATTTAATCACAAACTCACTCTCTTTCTGACACTGGACAACCATGTTAATGTGCTCATTGTTGTCATTGCCCAACTATGAATTTCAAATGTAATTTCAGCTATTTTCTTGGACAACTGTTTGTGCAGAGATTGTGAATGTTAGAGTGTCAATTTTTTAAAAGCCTCTTATGCTCACCAAGGCTGCATTTATTTGATTAAAAATACAGTAAAAATTGCAATATTGTGAAATACTATTACAATTTAACATAACTGTTTTCTATTTGAATATATTTTAAAATGTAATTGATTGCTGTGATCACAGCTGAATTTTCAACATCATTACTCCAGTCTTCAGTGTCACATGCTCATAAAAACATTCCTTACTATTATCAATGTAGTTGTGCTGCTTCATATTTTTGTGGAAACTGGGGTACTTTTTTCAGGAAAGTTCAAAATAGCAGCTTTACATTTTGATTATCTTGAAATTTGAAATCTTAATTAGATCAAACCAGTTAGACCACCTCAAAAGACATATATGGATACTTTAATACTGTCCTTATGTGCTTTTTGGAGTACTGGTCACCTATACATGCACTGAATGGACCTTATTTTTCTAAAAAATCTTGTTTGGTTTGTTAAAGTTATATACATTTATGGATGGCACGATGGTGAGTAAATGATGAGAGAATTTTCAATTTCTCAATACTTTGTTTGTGGAACATCAATATGGTATAAGCATTGTAATTACAATTGTATTAAATCCAGTAGGAATGGAATTGAAAATAACTTATGAACACCAAGTCACCATTTGTTCTCCAAATAACATCAATCCCCAACATAAAACTGTATGTACTATAGTATGTTGAAACCACCCATGCAATGATCCATATCGCTCTTTCACATGTTGTTCAGTAAGAGTAAAATAATACCACCATATTAAAATATCTCAAAGTATCTAGAGCAATAAGTCAAAATCTCTGGAAACCAAGGAACTATATATGGAAAATATCCCTCTGAATATTTTCAGCATTACAAATGGAGCATGTAAATATCCGCAGCCATCGGAAGAGAGTTTGAACAGGATATGAGGGCCAGTAAAGTGATTGTGAAAGTCTTTGTGCAGCTGTATCTAGCAAAACCAGCAGTGGCCAGTACAGTCCTCGCTGATTCAGATTGTTGCTGCCTGCATAATTACAGAGTCTAGAGGTCTTCCAGACGACTCTGAGGTGTCTTCACCAAGTACAGAGCAAATAAGCTGATTTCACTTCTGGGCAGTAGGCATTTCCCAGGGCTCTTACTAGCAGATGTCACTGCTGGCTCTGTTCCAAAACCTAGTAAGCTCCCTCTGTAGGCATCACAAGCACTCCCAAGTTGTGAAGCCTGGTATAAAAGATTGGCAGTAAGCTGCATTATTATGCCTCCTAAGATGCCTTCCTTTTGCTGAATTCGAAATCAATATCACACAATATTGAAAATCATTGGAAATATGTGACTCTAACTATATTTTTGAAAAACTCCAAAAACTTACCTACTGTGTATATACAATTCACAGCAGTTTCCAGCTGAAATGAACACTAGAGGCAGTAAAAGACCAACAATTTTTATTTCTTTTAAAAAAATTTTGGGGCAGACTATGGATTAATAAACACTTATTTCCTCATAGTTCCTTGCACAATACTATGTTATGACGTCAGCGCCTGGTATTTGCAACGCATAAAGAGTTCCATATGTATGGCTTTTCAAAGATAGTAAAGTTGCTCGGTAGCGCACCTGGTACAGCATTGCACTTGTAGCATCAAGCTAAAATTACATGTTTTCTTCAGCAAATGCTTTTTTTTTGGTCTCAAATTTGCTTTTGTTAACACTATTGGTTAGGTATAGGGTAGGGTTTCATGTTGGTGGTACGTTCATTTCCGAACTGCTGCAATACATACCGCAATCAACGTAGTAAAATGTCGCCTGATTCACGTTCATCTGATTTGGACAAAAATGAACATGCTTTTAGCACCACTCACTGGACATTTTTTTGAAAAGTGCAAGAAACAACATAACATCATTTTGCAGAAATGTCACCACAGGCACGTATTTCCAAAGAGCCTGGGTTGATATTGCATGCATTTTTCACAGAGAATGCAAACCCAGAATGCACTGCAAAATGAAATCCAAGATGGTGAACAAAGTGAGAGAAATCTTGATTACAAATACTTATAACTCATCAAATAACGAAAACTATCACTTTAACTTATCACTACTGAAAATGAACTCTTTTACCTAGCATTTGTACTTTATGCTCAAAGTATCACATGCTTAGCAACCTGCTTGAAATCAGTTGTAATTCGAGTCTTTGTGTGAGAAGCACTACTTGTATGATACGTGAGGACTTGTTGCCTATCAACAGTGTTCAAAATGAGCTTTCATTTCAGATGCTGCTTTAGAAGGCAGCTGACATCAAGGCAGAACGAATGCTAGATGCTAGAAAGTGTGTTGAATGCTATGGTGCCACAGTGCAGTAGGTCTCATTTTCCTCTTTCACGGTTCTTTATCAATTACTCACTCGCTCACTTACTCACAGAACTCTGGCTGGCGTCCTATCTAACAATGTCCCGCATAAACGCTTCTGTGAATGCTGTTTTTGGCAAAGCTGTGCCCGCTTGAAAGATGTTTCCAAACAGACCACACACAGCTCCTGAAAACTTACACATCCAAAACATTTCGCATGTTATAGGACACCTCCGTAAAGGGCCTAATGTTCTTACAAATTAAGTGGGCTGTTAATTTAACAAGCCCAGAATTAATACTCAACTCTGGTTGCCTACAGACACACTTTCAAGGATACTACATTTTTAGAGGCAGATTACATTTCTGATTTATTCGATCAATTTATAAGTTGTGAATATTAAGGTGATGACAAAAGGCGCAAGGAGCCTAAGATGCTTTCTGATATCATAAAATATAACTCAAATACAAATGACAAAATATTTCAGCAAACGGGAAAAAATACCTCACAAAAATTATAACAACATAAGCAGTTCTAGAAATTTATTAGTCAAATTAAATACATGATATGCCAATAAATTTGTCAAATGTACATTTTGATTTACTCTACAAGTATAAATTGGGATGTGAATATAAAAGTGATGACAAAAGCACAATAAGCCCAATATGTCTAGAAGAATAAAATTAAAAGCAAATTAAATACATGTTATAAAAAGTCATTTTTAATGAGAAAAGCCCCCACATGAAGATAATGTAAAGCCATTTTTGTGGCAGATGAGTAAAATAGACAAACTATGTCTTTTGAGATCAATATATAGTTACATATTTCCATATAATTGAACATTAGCCTATCTTTGGTCTTTAGTCCACGGAAATCTAATGAAGCAAAGTTCTATTAAAAACATATGTGTGATATATGCATCACAGAGGTTTTAAAAATTAAAAATGTGTTGGAAGCATTAAAAAAATGGGACCTCTGAGAAAAAGCTTGAAAATCACTAGTGTACACCAAAAGGAATTTGCGTTATATATTAAACCATGTGATTACTGTATATTTATGGTGTGAGCACACTCCTGCTGTGCTCCACCGTGAGAATGGACAAAATGATGCAAGACTGTGTTTGCCACCTGTTTCCCGTCCCAGTCCCGCTGTGAGGTGCCACAGGTGTTCGGCACGGAATTCTGGGCCTTATGACCAGACTCATTTTGGGCCTTAGTTCACATAAACAACTTTAAGTGTCATTAAAAAAATACGGGGCCTTCTATTGACTCAGCTGAGGCTCTGAAGTGTGCTTGGTCCACTGGGTCGGGGATACACTGTTCCTGTTTTGTATCAAAGTTTGGGTACGTAACGGAGCGTGAACTTACACAAGTGAGAGGGACACGTAATACAAATCCAGCTCAGCATCAGAGACGTTTGACTTGCAGGGTAAATAACAAGAATCCGTTTTTACAGAATCACATGCTTCTACAGCAGAGGCCAGATCTGTATAATATGACCCTGTTTTTCTTGATCTCCTCAAAAATTGCTATCTTTGAAGATTCCCTTCCATAAATAGAAAGCATCGGGACAGTTGAAAAACAAACCAGGGTGCTTTATTCATGCTCACTGAAAACAAAAGCTCATTTACTGTTCAGGCGACGAAACCAGATGATTTCCTAAAGCTGTTTTACATCAGTAAATCAACAGTGACTAAACACTCAACGTCACTCTGGACCTCTGAGCAGCATGGAAAACAAACTATTGCTAGTTTTAATGAATTATAGAGCGAAAGCAACCAAAAAAAGACAAATACTAGAATGCTCCCATCCTGTTATAATCAACAAAGCTGTTACTGAACGTTTATACAGCTTCGTGTGACTGTTTAAGCCTTGCAGAAGAGCTTCAGTCTCTTCTGGATTCTCATCAATACTCTCATTATAACTGGAGTCTAAAATCTCTTCCATGAGTGATATTTACCTTGATTTTTCTTCGTTTTCCTCAGATATCATGTTTTATATTTCACCTCAATTAACATCTCAATTGTTATAAACTATGTTTACATGCACACCTATATTCAGGTTGCAGCCATATTCTGAATATGATGTTTATACAGTATGCAAAATGTTACTACTTTTTCACAATAATTTAATAATAAGGACTCAAACATTTCTAGCCTTCAAAAATGACTCGCACAATAAATGGAATAGGTCATGCAATCATTCATTTGAATTGGAATCAGAATTATGGAAATCCGAATCTCTTAAACTAATTCAGGGAATCGGAATATTGCCAAATTCTGATTAACTTTGGAATATTGATGTGCATGTAAACATACACTCTAAAAAATGTGGGGTTGTTTCAACCCAACTTTGGTTCAAATATGGACTAACCCAACTTTTGGGTTAAAAATGTAATAAAAAAATGTAACCCAACAGCTGGGTTAGTCCAT